AAATAATAATGACCCTGCTTAGGTAAGGAATTGTAGTATTTCTTTAATAATATGAATAATGATTGGCGGGCGTGACCTGATGGTTCACTAATCAAGGATGTTAAGATTTTGACATGATGGCTTCATCGGCCGGAACAACCCTTTCCTAGCATCGGCACCTTGCTTATGGCCAATCTGAAGGGGTTTTATGAATCTGCAAATGGGAAAGGGGGGGGGGGGGGGTACTCATAGCCGTGCATGCCGTGGTCGTTGGACCATTGACCTTGTTTCCCTACAAAGCCGGGACGGAGAACTTGGGGGAGGGCGGGGGTACGCGGCATCATGAGGGCACATACCTGCTCAATCGCTGCGGCCAGGACGAGATCCCTCTTGGCCAGCAGCGAGGTCACGCGTCCCTTGGCCCCCATACGTGCCGTACGCCCTGCCATCATTAAAAGTTTGCACGGGCAAAGAAAAACGACAGCATCAACCAGAGGCAGCACCAACAGCAGCAGCAGGCAACACAGGGATTTTTCCCCGTTGTCTGGGTGAAGGGAAAAACAAAACACCTTATACAATACCAATGAAATGTGTACCACACAAGATTCAACAACAGCAGTAGCCCTCACGAAGCATACGCTTGATCGATCGGCCTTTACAGAAACCCGTCGTGCCTTATATGCCACGTGGCAGGTGGAAGTGCAAGCAAGTGTATCTGCTTTCTAAAGCTCACCAGAGCGATGCAAGTAGTCGATAGGGTTCAGCGGAAAGTCGAACATGACAACGTGGTCCACGTCTGGCATGTCCAGCCCTCTCGAAGCGATATCCGTGCAGACCTGTCGTACGAAACGCAACAAAAAAATATGGACACAGTGGACGTCCCTGTTTAGTGCCGGTTGAATAGTGCCGGTGCCCGGTATAGTGCTGGTGTCTTCGGTGGGCACACACTGAATTTCCAAGTCATTTGAAGAGTGCCGGTGTTTTCGGCGGGCACACACTAAATTTCCAAGTCGTTTGAAGAGTGCCGGTGCCCGGTATAGTGCCGGCGGATTTTCGGTGGGCACACACTGAATTTCCAAGTCATTTGAAGAAGAGTGCCGGTGTCCGGTATAGTGCCGGCGGATTCTCTGCGCACATACCCGCACTAAACAGGGACGGACCCCCACTACTGTCGGGGCGGGGGGTTACAACGATATGATCGGCGTATTGCACACACATGAGTGCCTGACGCGGTCGATTCTCGTTGTCACAGGCAACCTTACCCTGAAAAAGTCACACATAAACAAGATGGACCCGAAGGGTCCGCAAAACAACAAAAAATCAGGGACAGATCGGGGTCGCCACAGAAATAAATAAGCACAGTGCCCAGCCGGTTTCTTTCCCCTCCCACTCACTGCTGTAACTATAGACTCCAACACATCCCGTTCGACTACTGCTGTGGTTATATCTCGAACGGGTATAGTAGTCTTTCTGTGTTTGTATTTATTCTCGTGAGAATACAAGTATACGGGGCGAAGACGAACACAGGCACGCCTTCTCCCTCACCAAATACTTGGCTTGGCCGGCCTTGAACCTCTCGAGGTTGGAAGACCGTTCGTCGCTGGGCACCTCCCCGTGGTAGGACAAGGCCTTGACGTCTACTTCCCTTAGACCGAACTCCGCCGCGCGGCAGCTCTTGACCGTGTTGCAGAACACCAGCGTTCGCTTGAAGTCTCTTCTCTCGGTGTTGTCGTCGTTGTTGTTGTTGTCGTCGTTGGTGGTGGTGGTGGTGGTAAGTAAATTTCGCGAGCGCGCACGCGTGTGAGACGACATGATACAAGGATGAGAAAGGCGGGAATGAACACTAAGCAGTGCGCGTACACGGGTATGATGAGGACATGAGACAAGGATGCTAAAAAAAGGTGGTATGATAAATAAGCAGAGGAGGGGCGATGCCTTCATTAGTCGTTGGAAGCCCTACCAGGCAGAAAGGCTGTGAGCGCTGATGAACAAAAAAAAACAGTATCGATAGCTCCGTCTTAGTTGCATGGTTCTATTGTCGTGCTTAGGAAGCGACAGGGATGGCACAGCCCGTTAGTACGCCGCATCGCATCAACGCTAGATAGTCTTCATCCCGCACACTTGAAAACCATCACACCGTCGACGTTAATATCTCCGTCCCGATTTCAAATGGCTTGCGGGCCGTTCGGGTCGATTTCATTTGATAATTCCTTTTTGTTGGGGTAAGCTAGCCTGTGACCACGGGAATCGACCGGTCAAGTGTTAGATCACTACGGACAGACGAAGGTACTGGGTGGAGAGATCGGAACGGTTTCTAATGTGAAGACAACGACAACACCTAAGTCATCACATCGTCGACGCTATTTAGACAAAACATCATCCCCGCACACCGAGCTATGACATATCATGTGACGTGACGTGACGTGACGTGACGTGACTGACGGGAGGGACTCACTTGAGGTGCTGCTGGGCGATGTCGATGAGAGCCGACATCTTGTCCCTGCCCTTGATGTCGATCATCACGTGTCTCAAGCTGGGGAGGGTGTGGTGGACGTCCCTCGTTTCTACTTGCCGAACCTTTTCGCAAGAAAAAAACAAAACAAAACAAAACAAAAACAAAAACCGGAGAAACGGAGAAAACAACACAAGGTTAATAACCGCCTTCACAACAGCATAATACTATCGACGCAACGTGCAAGCAGCGGTGGCGCCGGCGGTTGCAACAGAGACATTTATGTACATTTTGGCGAGAAACCGACAAAAAAAAAATAATGACGGTCCACGCACAACATTTTGTCCATTCACCTTTTGTGCGATAATTTTTTTAAGAACAAGATTTGAAACGCCAAACAACGATATTCGTGATCGCCTCGTCGAGATACGTCGATACGTAGAACAAATTGAATAGTAACGGCAGTGACGAACGAGGCAGCACAACACCAACCTTGGAGTAGTCTCCATCTTCCCCAAGGAGCTTCCGGACAGCCTTGGTCAGCGTCGCCGTCACGAAGATGAATTGTGCCATGTCTCGGCGGTTGGGGTTCGCGAGCAAGGGGCGGTTGAGCTTCTCGATGTCCGCTGCGAAGCCCTGCGTGAGCATCGTGTCCACCTCGTCCACGACCACGTAGTTCGCCTACGTACGGCAAATTGTCCGGAGGAGGAGGGGGCATCGTCATCGAGAAACACTGCTGTCGGCCGGACCGGGAAGGGTAGATTGACTTTTACTTGGCTACCCGAAAACGACGCACCGATGCAGCTGTGCAACTCGGCAGCTGTTCAAGTCTGCAGCTGTACGTCTGCAGCTGCGTTGTGTTGGATGGGAAACGACACCCAGCACAACGCGCGTTTGCGGCAGACGCCCGATACCAACCACCGCTCGTATGCCGATTGGGTCGACACCCAGCGCCAACAGACCGAAAAGCTGTCCGTGCCGAAGCTGCTCGTTGGTTGCATCGCACGGCGCGGAGCAATCGCTCAGCAGCGGCCAGTATTTCGCCCACCAATCAGCGACGAGGATCGAGTTCAAAGCAAGCGCTGCAAGTAATCCCACACGCCGCCCACCCTGCCTGCACAGCCTTCTAGGTTGTTTGTTCATGGAAACATTATAGTAGTATCCCCACGTGCCGGTGCGGCTGATGTGTGTGTGGGGTGTTCTGTTGTGTTTGGGTGAGATTGTAGTCGCTGGTGCTTCGTTCAAGTTCTTTCCACCTGCTACTTCTCTTGCCGGGTTGCAACCACGCGCTCCATTTCCAACGTAGGTGATATACCACAACCAACGACCATGACGACGTTCAACAGCATGTACAAACACCAGCCACCGCACACAACGATGCCAACAGTAACGACCGTCAACAGTAACAACAACAAATGACTTTAACTTACCTTGCTCATGAAAAAGTTTCCAGCCTCGTGGTGCTTCAGCAGACGACCTGCATCACGCATGCATCACCGCCATCATATCGCACAGCCGATATATACAATGCGCCGCGAGAGCAATGTTCCAAAGATTGCCCCGCCCGGAATTGTGAGGAAGGGGTAGGTGGCCAAAGCCCAACGCAAGGTTCGCAGCAGCAGGTACCGACGGCGGGAAGAGGGGCGACAAGGCGGCGTGGGAGGGGGGGGGGGGGGGGGGGGGGAAGAAAAAAAAACCCCGGAAGAGGGCCCCCCCCAAAAATTTCACCAAATTTTAAATTTTTCCTGGAGGGTAAGGGTTTGCCACAAAACCCCTTTCTCCGGCGTTCCTGAAAAGGAACCCCGAACCCCCTTTCGCCCCTAAAAAAAAAAAAGCTTGCCCAACCAACGATCGGGGTTTCGGCCTCCACAAAGGGCGCCCCCCCTTTCCCCCCCCTGTTTTCCCTTCCCACCCCCGAAAAAAACCCCCCCCCTTGGTT